TACACTGCTCAAAACTCACGTTTGAATCATCAGTGGCAAATTCTTTAAATATAAAAAACGTACTTACAGTCTTTGAGTCAGAACAGCCGGCATTGTAGGCTACTCTCCCAGGATCAGGTAACAGTCCTCCATAAAATGTGCTGCACACATCTGAATATTTGGGTTGAAGTGTTCTGGAACAGTGTTGTAAATACAACTTAACCACTGATTTCTAGTCGTGTCCTCTTTTGGAAGACCAAACAAAGTAGCTTCGCTTTCACAACGAAACACACGGTGGGCTTGAGAACGGCGCGGCCGGCGGATTCGACGAAGGAGGCTTGCGGCAACCACATGTAATTTCATTACACCAAATACACAAAATAATGTTCTTTTTAGCAACATCATATGACCCCTTAAATTATGTAAGAAATGAAGCTTACTTAATAAAGAATCTTCCATATTATCCCAAAAAATTAATAAAAAATTACAAAAGACAGGATGACACAGTTTACGTGGGAGTCATTTTCTTCCATATGTGTTTGCACAGGAAGTGTTGAGTCTATAAAACAGCCTGTGTGTTTGACAATGTGTCATTAACAGATCAGTATGGACCCCAGTCTACTTCCTCTAATGCTTTGTGAGTATCATTTTATCATTTATGCATTCATTTCTTATTTTGTATAATGATAGTGAATCAGTGTTCATCTGTATTTCATCATCTTATGTATTTAATTTATGCTTTCATTCATGCTGCTAATAATAGTATCAAATCCATCTGCAGTTCATGATATCTGTGCGTGAAAGTGAAATATACTCACATGTGCTGCATGTAGCTGAGTGAGATCAGTGTATTTATCGTTTATCATACTTTTTTGGAAGTTTGTTTTCTTCAGTAGATCTTGACTAGCAGTCAGTGCTTCTATATATAGTCTTTGCTTGTGCTGTGATGTGCTGATGTTTCTGACCACAGTGATGCCACTTCCCATATGAAGCACTGATGAATAAGATCTAGTGTCGTGAGCTTCCCTTCACACTGCATCATGACAGCATCACAAAGATATTCTTAGCAATCCACATAGATTTTGTCTTCACTTCACTTCCTCTTTCACCCTCCGTCATTATTGACTCACTCCATTGTTGACAGATCTGAAAGAATAGAGATATACTGAGTTGATTTTATAGAATATAGATGATAGAAAGAGTTGAGCTGAGCAATTCTGTTCAATAACAGTATAAAATTGGCCTAAAATCAATTGCAATGTAATCAGTTGCAAAATACCATTGTCACCGCTTGTAGTTTATTTTTTATTCTTCTATAAAACAGCTCATTTCTCTCACACGCTAATCAGTGTAAATTATTCAAATGGTGATTTCAACTATGCTTCTCTTGTGGAATTCCTTTTAAAAGTTTTATAATATAATTCTATTTAGAAGCAACAAAATGTATTAATTAATCAATCGGTGTAATTGTCTCTTTTTGGTTTTTAGTGCTGATTTCAAACATCCACCCTGGACAAACGCAAGGCGAGTTATATTTATAACACATAAATATAGTGTTTGTATGTGTGTCGTCGCGTGCAGTGTGTGTTGTGTTTGTTGTTTATGTCATTTATTGGGTTTTAAATGATAAAAGGTGGTTGTAAATAAAGTGAGTTTATTGTTCTCATCATGCAGGGCATAAGGGTCCAGAGGAACAGAGCAGTAAGTGTTTTCATTGTATTGCACCATTCCTGGACAAAGACATAAAATAAACACTGCCACATGTGTAGATGGGTAGATAGATTATTGTGGCTTCTTTGGATGTTTTACCATAACATCTGTTTTTTTCGGATCTTACAGAGCCACCAGTCAAATGGTACATAACCAATTAATTAACTCCAACTGAGAAAAAAAATAGTAAACGTTTGTAGATGCTGTATATTGGAAAGACTGAATGTTAACTGTGTCTGCTTAATCTCAATACATGACATTAATTAACCACATATGTATTATATTAAAGATGTTATTGCCTTATGGACATCACTTTGATACATATCTCTGGCTGATAACAAAATACTTCCTAAATTATAGCAATGGAGCAAGCATTTTCTGTAAAGCGGCTTTGAAACAGTATTGTGTATTATTAACAGTATTATTTTAACCGTACTGTGAAAAGCCCAATACAAATAAACTTGAATTGAATTTAATTACTGAATTAAGCACCCAATTTGAGGAGCCACATCTCACAGGATTTGTATCTTCATGCGTCATCTTTTTGAGATCTCTTATGTTAGAAGAGCATAAAACAGCTACAATTACATTACTACGGTGACGCATTGCTGCCACACACATATTTTTTTTTCCACTCAATTATGTCGTAATAACGAGATATGTCGTTTTAACGACATATTTTCTCGTTAAAGCGACATCTTTTCTCGTAATAACGAGATGTTTTCTCGTTAAAACGACATCTTTTCTCGTAATAACGAGATGTTTTTATGACATATGTCATTATTACGAGAAAAAATATGTCATTTTAACGAGAAAAGATGTTGTTTTAACTAGATAATTATATAGTTTTTACGAGAAAAGATGTAGTTTTAACGAGAAAGCATCTCGTTATTATGAGAAAAGATGTCGTTTTAACGAGAAAACATCTCGTTATTACGAAAAAATATGTTGTTTTAACGAGAAAACATCTCGTTATTACGACATAATTGAGTGGAAAAAATAATGTGTGTGGCAGCAATGCCTCACCGTACATTACTCATAATGACAAAGAAAATAAGCTGAAGGTTGAGGCAAAATAAGGAAACCTTTCATATTAATATCAGAAATCAAAAGCAGCAATAGATGATGACTAAAGACTAGGGATGCACAATATTATTGGACCAATATCGGAATCGGCCGATAATGGCTTTAAATGTAAATATCAGCATCCGATATGAAAAATTATGCAGATGTGTCTTGAAGATAAGAGGAGTAACTCACATGTGCTCAAGGTGTGCTAGCAATTAGATCATGTCAACAGTGCGATTAGCTCATTTCAGCAGTGTGGCTCATTCTTGAAGCAAAGTTTTGTCTGAATGATGATTAGATTGGATGTTTTGATCGCTGCATTTAAACTGAGAAAGCACTTACAGAATGACGCGTTCAGTGTGTGATCGAGTAAACAGTAATAGCACGTGCAGCGGCAGCCTCCCCCGGGTCCGTGTTTCTGATTAAACAGAGCAGTAATTGATGCCATAAAATCATCAGTATGTTTTGATTTAAAGGTCAGAAGTTATAGCTTACAGGAACAAACAAAAAAAATCACAAACATGACACTTAAATAAATTTTATATATACTGATTTATTCATTCATGTGTAATATGTTATATTTTTAAACAAATTATGAACTCTAAAAGATTTTCAGAATTTTTGCAACTCTTTTGCTTTAGACCATTTACAAATGTTAAACCTTAAAATAAAATGTTAAGGTTACTACTGCATCTTTCTGGAAAAAAAATGCAGTGATTAATATATAGTTTATTTATAGTTATTTTCAAACCTTTAATGTACTGTCATTATAAAAGAACTTTATTACTGTTTATTTAATTCTAACAAATAAGTTCTTGTTAAAAACTAACCAAAATTAAAAATAATTATATATCGGAATCGGCATCGGTTATCGGCCAAAATGAGTTGAAAATTATCGGGATATCGGCAAAAATCCAATAGTGTGCATCCCTACAAAAGATTACTTATTAAGTCAAGATTGTATCATGAAATATTTACAGACCATCCCAAAGTAACTGTAAAACCCCAGAGTTCAGTGTTCACTGGAGACACAGTTACTCTGAGCTGTGATGTGGGACAGTTAACTGGACAGACGGTTATCTGGTTCAAAGACTTCACGAGAATACAAACTGGTGATGTAACAAAAACACTGACAGATGTGAGAGTCTCTGATGGAGGAAAATATTCGTGTACTGTAGGAGGAAAGACCACACAAAGCCAAAGAGTCATGCTAACAGTAAGAGGTAAGTGCTGTTTTTACAGCACAATCTGATTTTGAGATCACTATACAATTATGAAAATGAACAGCATCCATTAACAGTATCATGTGCTGTCTTAAATTCATTTCACACAGAGAGACCCAAGCCTGCAGTGCGTGTTCAGCCTGATGGACATGTGTTCAGAGGACAGACGGTCACTCTCACATGTGACATACAGGAGACAGACGTCAGCAGCTGGAGCTACAGCTGGAATAAAGATGATTCAGAGATTCATGTCAGTCAATCACAGGAATACCGAATCAGTTCTGTTAATGAATCTCACATGGGTAATTACAGCTGTACTGGAAGAGAAACACAAGGATCACGGTGTCAATCCTACATACAGCACCTTTAACAAAAGCTATTTTAATAAATAAATGGGTTTAATTTAGGTTAAAACATGTCATAATCAAATTGCAGATGATTAGCTACCCTTAACTGACTTGAATAATTTGACCTGCTGACCTTTTATTTTAAAACATCAGGATCTTCAGTACCCAAATTTTCAGATGCTCTGATCATTGGAGTGGTTTCAGGACTGAGTGGTGCATTTCTGCTCATTTTCTTACTGGTCCTGCAGTTCTGCTGCAAACGCAACAAAGGTTCATCTCATCTCTTCAAATCAACATAGACTACTTATACAGACAATCTTAACTATAGTGGTCTTTGGAAGCATTTTATGGTTAAAGGTGGTTTTATATGTCATAAACTGAGGCAGGAAAGCCATTTGTGAATCATTCCTGAAGTTTCTCTGTGTTTGAGTACAGATGGAGGATCTCCATCTCCCTCTACAGACCATCAGCTGCAAAACATCAGTCAGACAACAGAACATCAGAGGAAGAATGGACAAACACCATCGTGCTCCAGTCAGAAACACTCACAATATCTATACATTAATTGCAATGATCTTTTTTTTAAATGAAATGATAAAATATTAATGTGTGACGATAGGCTACAGTGGCATGCATGGATGGATGGATGGATGATCTTTGCGTATCCGACCTGTATAGAATCATGTAGTTTGGTTTAATTGGTTTAATTTTATCATAGACAACAAAATAGCAGCCATCAGCCGTTTTGAACAAAACATAAACTCAGTCACTACAAACAACTGAAAGACTAAAACCAGAACAAGAGAAGAAAATGTCTTACCCGTTCGTTATTTTTTTAATGCAGACACTGTAATCAGGACTTCGTGTGTGACCTATGTAAAGATTGACCTGAAATCAATGAAGGAAATAAGGAAGAAAAAGAAAGAAAATAAAGGTACGACAACAACCCTGCTGAGGTGTTTTTGCAGTTGTTTGTTGTAACATAACACATTAAGATAAATGCATGTATAATCAAATAAATGCAAAATTAATATATGATAAACTCTTGTCATCTGTTAGGAAAGGAGAGTTCTGACACTGTTTATTCCAAAGTGACGATTTAAGGTGAAATAAACTAAAAACAATGCAAAATATCACAATATAATGCAATTACAAAAATACATACACATACAATGTTTTATACTTGTGAATTAATTTTCATAATTTCAGGTGCTGTTGCTGGATCAATATGATGAATGCTCAGACAACTTTCATCAACGCTGGAATACAAAAAAAAAAAGAGTTGATGAATTGGATATATTACCCTGATTATTAATCATACATTTTTGATCATAACATGCAAATCTTCATAATCTGTGACATTTTAAAACATGAATCTGACCACTGATACACTACTGCATCTACTGTTACATTTCTAATATGTATTATGAATATTATAAGAAAAAGCAAAAGGCCTGTGTTCATGTATTAATCTATCTTCTCGTTGTCCACTAGATGTCGTCATCATAGAGACGATTTGGTTGTTTCATCCACATTTTAGTGTGCGACAGTTTTTGATTTGCTCTTGTGCATTCTTTTGGTATATACTGTGTGTTAGTCCTCCTGCTTTCATACCTGCACTGCTTGTAGGCTGCTTTAATCGTGTAAGTTAATCAAATGTATTTTTCACACAAGTTGCAAAATCTAAATAAAGTACTATATCGCTTGTGAAGTGAAGCTAACTAATGATTCTCTGTGGGAATTGGATGTGATGTAGGAACTATTTTACACCAGGGTTACACTCCTAGTCTTTCTGAGAAGGTTTATAGGCATCTCAGCTTGTCTAACAGACATTTCTTGCTGGATGAAGGACCATCGCCTTCAACTCAACCTTGCCAAGACAGAACTGCTTGTGGTTCCAGCAAACCCATCGTTTCATCACAATTAAGAAGATCAGGCCCTTTCTTTTGGAACATGCTTCACAACTAATTGTTCAAGCTCTTGTTCTGTCCAGGCTGTGCTTTAACTGGACGCTATCTTTATTGTTCTTTTTTGGCTCTGATAGGATGTGTATAAGTATTACTGTATTGTATGTGTTTGTTGTTTTATGTTTTTATGTTTACCTATGATTATGATTACCTGCCAAGGGACCACGGATGAAAACTAGCCATTGGCTAAATTCGGTACAATGCATGCAATGGAAACATTTATGTTAAAATCGTACATGGTCCCTTTCTAAATAAATTTTAATAAATAAAATAAATAATCAACACCAGAGGTGTGTTGAAGACCAGACCCTCAAGAGCCATTCAAGAGCTAGCAGAGGGTGATTAAACAACTCCGCATTACCAGCTTCACTTATTACTAACCAGTTTGACTTGAGTTTTCTGTCATATGCCTACAGAAGTTCTTACTGAGAATTAACAGAGGTTTAGACGCTGATGTTTTATTGCATTCAGTCACCATTATAGTTATTAGTGTTTAGTTCACTTGGGCTCCTGACCTTTGACTATTGTGCTTTTTTTCTGGCTGTGATAACTGTGTGTTTATAAGTTACGTTTACTATATCAAGAAAAGCCAAGACAAATATAATCAGGATCAGACTGTTATTGATGCTGACGATACAGTAATCATGGGATGACCTGATTCACTGATCACAATCAGGTAACACTCTTATTATGGTGATGTTTATTTTATGGTTGAACCTTGTTCTAATACACTTTCTCAGAGATTTAGCCGAGTTGTGACAATCAGCTACTCTAAACAACATCAAAAACTATTTGCACAAAAAATGTTCAACTCCTGCAGCATCAGACACACACAGACATCAAGAATCAGCGTATGAATCTCAACGACCAATAAAACACAGATAATCTCTGACCATCACAAAACAAGCAACTAAAGTCACAACAAAACAGGAATAATAAATAGTGAGACAATTCATCTGTATAATTTATTCATGTCGAAATGCATGCTGGGATTCATGGTTGAGTTTGTTTTTTTGTTTGTTTGTTTGTGGCTCCCATCATGCACTGCAGCATGAAGTCTTTCATTTGACATACACTGATTTGTGATGTGTGTGTGTCTGAATGATGCACTCTTTTTTTTTTTTTTTGCACTTTGTCTAGATTATCTGATTGTCACAGCACTGCTGTATCTCAAGCTGTAGTATCACAGGGTTTCTGTAATCAATGCCATAAAACTACAACCCTGATATAATCAGAACTTTTTGACTCTGACTTAATCAGGTCACTGCATAATGATTAATAATTAAAATGCAAAACGGCTCACTTTTCAGAGATGACAACTCAACTCAATGCTACTTGCTGAATTAAACATGCTACACAATGAGGTCACAGGACAACAATATAGGACTGTTTGAAATGTATATCATTGCATACACTCTTAAAAATAAAGATTCTTTATTTCCATTGATGGTTCCATGAAGAATCTTTCCATTCCACACATGTTTCTTTAAAGGATCCTGAGATTATTAAAATATTCTTCACACTATTTTTTTTTTTTTTTGAAAGGTTCTTTAGGGAAACAAAAATGGTCCTTCCATTGCATCACTACAAAAAAACTCTTTATGAACATTTATTTTTAAGAATGTATTGCATATACTGTTTCACAAAATAGCAGGCAGCATAAAGTGTGTATTGTATCCATCAATGATGCTTAAACCCATCTATTCACTAGTGAAAACACACAGAATTTACATTAAAGTACAAGTCAAAACCTACCTGGCCCCACGTGAAAAATTAATTGCCCCCTCCTGATAAATCATGAAAGAACTGTGATTAAGCACATTATTTTAGAAAGCTGAGTTAAATTTCCCAGGCCTGATTACTGCCAGACCTGTTGAATCAAGAAATCACTTCAGTAAAACCTGTCTGACAAAGTGAGGCATGCTTAAAGAGCAACACATCATGCCGCGATCTAAAGAAATTCAAGAACAGATGAGAAGCAAAATAGTTGACATGTATCAGTCTGGAAAGGGTTATAAAGCCATTTCTAAGGCTTTGGGACTCCAGCGAACCACAGTCAGAGCCATTATACACAAATTGAGAAAACTTGGAACGGTGGTGCACCTTCCCAGGAGTTGCCGGCCAACCAAAACTCCAAGAGCACAACGACGACTCATCCAAGAGGTCATAAAAGAACCCAGAACAACATCTAAAGAACTGCAGGCCTCACTTGCCTCAATTAAGGTCAGTGTTCATGATTCAACAATAAGAAAGAGACTGGGCAAAAACGGCATCCATGGGAGAGTTCCAAGGCAAAAGCCACTGCTGACCAAAAAGAACGCTAAGGCTCGTTACACATTTGCCAAAAAATATCTTGATAATCCCCAAGACTTTTGAGCAAATATTCTGCTCAACTGATGAGACAAAAGTTGAACTTTTTGGAAGGTGTGTGTCCCGTTACATCTGGCGTAAAACCAACACAGCATTTCATAAAAAGAACATCATACCAACAGTCAAACATGGTGGTGAGCAGGACAATGATTCCAAACACACCAGCAAGTCCACCTCTGAATAGCTCAAGAAAAACTAGTTTTGGAGTGGCCAAGTCAAAGTCCGGACTTAAATCATATTGAGATGCTGTGACATGACCTTAAACAGTCCTTTCATGCTGGAAAACCCTCCAATGTGGCTGAATTAAAAAAATTCTGCAAAGAAGAGTGGGCCAAAATTCCTCCACAGCGACGTGAATGACTCGTTGCAAGTTATCGCAAACACTTGATTGCAGTTGTTGCTGCTAAGGGTGGCACGACCAGTTATTAGATTTAGGGGGCAATTACTTTTTCACGTAAGGCCAGGCATGTATGGACAGCTTTTTTCCCTTAATAAATTAAATCATTATTTCAAAACTGAATTTTGCATTTACTCGGGTTATCTTTGTGTAATATTAAAATTTGTTTGATGATCTGAATCTTTTAAGTGTGACAAATATGCAAAAAATAAAAAAAAAAACAGGAAGGGGGCAAAAACCTTTTCATGGCACTGTATATATATATATATATATATATATAAACACTCAAGCATAGCATAAAAATGTACATAATACTGAGCTAACAACAGTTTAACATAAACAGTTACCAAAAGTGAGTCGTCCAAAACATCAGAAGTGTATATTGGATGATTTGTTTTCATCCAATAAAGATCCCACAATCTTCTGGAATGTTCCAGAAAGCACTAGAATATTACAGAATACTACAGAATGTTACAGCTTCTAGAATGTTCCCATCATTGCAAAAGCAAAATATCTTTTAAAAATATGCAAAATTACAAAAGCTTATCTGTACTAAACCAATGTATCATACTTAATGCTAGAAGTTCTAAAATTCACCTGACCTAAATATATACCAAAATATTGATGCTGCGTGAAAATAAATAGTACAATAATAATTAGCACCACAGAATGTGAGAAAAGTGAAACAAATTTGTGCTACACTGTGAAATAGTTGTGATGCTTACTATTTTTTTGCGGAAATCGTTATACATTATTTCAGGATTTCAAAAGAACAGCATTTATATGAAGTCTTTTGTAAGAATATAAATGTCTTTACTGTCACTTTTGACCAATTTTAGTCTTACTGACACCAAAACTTTGAATTGTAGAACATGGAATTATTATTATTATTTTTTAATAAAATAAAATGCAAGAAATGTGGAAATTGCTTGAAATGTATAGGCTATTTTTTGGACTATATCACTGTCAGGAAAAAAAAGAGGTAAAAAAGCTGTCACTGGTGCAGTACCTTTACGAAAGGTCCTCCTTTGTACCATATTTACTCTTAAAGGGTACATATTGGTCTCTCAAATGTACATATTAGTAGCTTTTGAAAGGATACCACTCCAGTGATGGCCTTTTGTTTCTGAGAGTGTACTCCTGATGCTCTGTGCTTTGATTGTGAAGAACAATCAGGATGTGTTGTCGTCTTTTGTATTCCACAAAGTCATGTGCTTTTTTGTTTTGTGCTGTTTTGTGTGAACCATTCCTTCAGTACTTAACTTTCACAAGAACCTGAGGGGAATCTTTCGATTCTGTTTTAAACTGGGTAATCCTTCATGAAGTAGATACACACCTAAA